GCTAAAGTCTAAGTTACAGGCTGACTTCAGGTCTGGTTTAGATCATTGTTACTTATAAATTATATATTTTTCTAATATAAATCTGCTGTTTTACATGAATGTTGAATGAAATTAACATAATTATTAATTTATTGTAAAAACGTGACAGATAATCTGTGAAACAGATCCAGTTCAGCTGCTGTTTATCTATTAGTTTCTATGGAGGCTGTGAGCTGTTGTCCTGTTTGGTCTGTTTCTGCTCCTCCATGTTGTCACAGACATTACCTGTGTATGGTATGGGCGGGGCTTAGTCTAGTGATGTTATTCAAGTCTATGGTCACACCATACCCTGCTGCTCAGTCAACCAAGAGAAAAACATCACTATTTTTTACATTTATAATTTCTAGATTTGATTGTTTTTGTAGATTATGTAGACCAAAGAATCTGCCACATCAAAGGCTGTTTTGTGTATTTATAAAAACTTTATTATGGAAATGCATCTTCAACACCTGATAAGAAATGTAAGTTTTGTGTATTAAGTAAATGAAAATACTGCATTGTTTTTAATCTTTTGTATTTATTTTCCATGAATCTTCTGTTCATCTTACAGTTTGGCTCATGGACTGGCACAAGAATCACATGGCAGCTTTAAGCAGTGAGAMGTTCGACAGCCTCCTGAAAATGTGTCCAGAGTTTTCTGCCTGTAAAAGCCACATGGCTGCTTTTGTCTTGATAAGCGGTAAGCGGCCCGCAGCCCTCACGTTTGCTGTGTCAAAGTTAGTTTTGCTGAAGAGTTTCGTTTCCCCACAGAGGTGCTGGATACAGCGGGTCGTCCATGTAAGCGTTACAAAGTGGTGGCAGTGGGAGCTGGCCGTTCAAGCTGCAGCAAGTGGCTTTGCTACAATGGGATGATGGTTCATGACTGCCACGCCATCATCATCGCCAGAAGGGCTCTCCTGAGGTACAGAACGCTCCTTTACTGAATGAATAACCACCTCAAACGAATCTCAAGAATGCTCACAGTTGAGTGTTGAACTAGAGCTGCGGAGAGGAAAATGGCAAGACCGTTTTACAGCCAACTTCACCAGATCATAACACAACTTTATTTTATTTAATATTATTCAGCATAAAGTCCTGAATGTCCGACTGACACTCGCTTCATCTTTGATAAATGTTTGTTTCACTGAAAGAACTGGAGGATAATTCTTTGTTTTTCTGGCTTGTGTTCAGGTTCCTGTACAAACAGCTTTTGCTGTTTTCTGATGCTGATCCAAAGGCCAAGGAGAGCTGTATTTTTGAGAATAGTGTAGACAGCCACCAGCTGCAGCTCAAACCTAAAACCAGCCTGCATCTCTACACCAATCAGTGCCCCGAGGGAGCAGCCAAGGATTTCTACTTTAAGTACAGTCACTCCTTTGATTTTCATACTATGTTCCCAGAGCTATTCTTTGCATGAAAAGGCAGTAATGTAATTTAGATTTAAAAATTTTTGTCAAACAGGGTTCCTGCAGATCCTTAAAAAGTCTTAAAAGGCCTTGAATTCATCATTCCAAAAATAAGGAATTAATTAGCCTCAAAAGGTCTTAAATCAATCTTCAGAAGTCTTAAAAATGTAAATGTTAACACATTGTAAATAGGATGACTGTAATTCATATCAAATATTAAAATACTTGGTACCATTTATTTATTTTTGAAATATTCACATGCGACATTCCCCATTGACATCACTTCCTGTTACTTCACATGCAAATATCTCAACAACTGTCCATCTGAGCAATGTGAAATTTGTTTTCTAATATGTTAATGTCGTCTTTCCAAAAATACATTCATATTTCTTACAAAAATTTGGCACTTGAAGGTTTCAACTACAGCAAGCTAAGGTTGAGAACCCACTGTGGGTCATAAAACTCCAAATTTTAGGTTGTTAGAGGATTTTCAGAAATTCATTTAAGTTTAAAACTGACTGCTAAGAATGTTTTTGTTGTTATATTTGACAAAATAGCTGTTAGATATGGATAAAACAATTGGTCTATATTAGCAATATTTAAATAATTCAACCAAAAATACTTTGATTCATGAGTTTCTGCCACAGTTTTAATTTTTTTGTCATTTGTGTTTGTGAAATTGGTCTTAAATTTGATTTCACTTGGCATTAAAAAGTCTTAAATTTAGCTTGCCTTAAACTGTAGGAACCCTGTCAAACCATATGACTTCTGAGATTTTGTTTACTTAGTCTTCCTGTGAACTTAGAAGCATTTTTCTGTGTTAGAAATGCTTTCAGATGAATAAAATTGGATGTCATGCTTTTAGGGATTTAACAAACGTGAGCTGGGCCACGATGAAGCTGCAGTATCACGCCAAGGGCCTGCTCGTTCCCGTGGCTTACCTTGAGCCGAGTTTGTGGGGTGCCAGAGTGTGCTGCATGTCCGGCAGCGACAAGCTGTGCCGCTGGACTGTTACCGGAGTTCAGGGAGCRCTGCTGAGTCACTTCATTCAGCCTCTTTACATCACCAGCATAGTGCTCGGTAAAAACAAATACTGAAGCAGTCATTTCATACATCACACATTTGAAACGTGTCAAATACAGAAGCAGTGTGCAACATGATTACAGTGGGGAAAATAAGTATTTAGTCAGTCACCAATTGTGCAAGTTCTCCCACTTAAAAAGATGAGAGAGGCCTGTAATTGACATCATAGGTAGACCTCAACTATGAGACAAAATGTGAAAAAATATTTGAGAAAATCATTTTGTCTGATTTTTAAATAACTTTTTTGCAAATAATGGTGGAAAATAAGTATTTGGTCACCTACAGTACAAACAAGCAAGATTTCTGGCTGTCACAGACCTGTAACTTCTTTTTTAAGAGGCTCCTCTTTCCCCCACTCATTACCTGTATTAATGGCACCTGTTTAAAGTCGTTAACAGTATAAAAGACACTTGCCCACAACCTCAAACAGTCACACTCCAAACTCCACTATGGTGAAGACAAAAGAGCTGTCGGAGGACACCAGAAACCGAATTGTAGACCTGCACCAGGCTGGGAAGACTGAATCTGCAATAGGCAAGCAGCTTGGTATGAAGAAATCTACTGTGGGAGCGATAATCAGAAAATGGAAGACATACAAGACCACTACTAATCTCCCTCGATCTGGGGCTCCACGCAAGATCTCAGCCCGTGGGGTCAAAATGATCACAAGAACGGTGAGGAAAAATCCCAGAACCACAAGGGGGGATCTAGTGAATGACCTGCAGAAAGCTGGGACCAATGTTACAAAGGCTACCATCAGCAACACACTACGACGCCAGGGACTCAGATCTTGCAGTGCCAAACGTGTCCCCCTGCTTAAGCCAGTCCATATCCAGGCACGTCTGAAGTTTGCTAGAGAGCATTTGGATGTTCCAGAAGAGTATTGGGAGAATGTCATATGGTCAGATGAAACCAAAGTAGAACTATTTGGTAAAAACACAACTCGTCGTGTTTGGAGGAAAGTGAATGCGGAGTTGCATCCAAAGAACACCATACCAACTGTGAAGCATGGGGGTGGCAACATCATGCTTTGGGGCCGTTTCTCTGCAAAGRGACCAGGACGACTGGTCCGTGTACATGAAAGAATGAATGGGGCCATGTATTGTGAGATTTTGGGTGCAAACCTCCTTCCATCAGCAAGGGCAATGAAGATGAAACGTGGCTGGGTCTTTCAGCATGACAATGATCCCAAGCACACTGCCAGGGCAACAAAGGAGTGGCTTCATAAGAAACATTTCAAAGTCCTGGAGTGGCCTAGCCAGTCTCCCGATCTCAACCCCATCGAAAACCTTTGGAGGGAGTTGAAAGTCCGTGTTGCCCGCCGACAGCCCCAAAACATCACTGCTCTAGAGGAGATCTGCATGGAGGAATGGGCCAACATACCAGCAACAGTGTGTGCCAACCTTGTGAAGACTTACAGAAAACGTTTGACCTCTGTCATTGCCAACAAAGGATRTACAACAAAGTATTGAGATGAACTTTTTGTTATTGACCAAATACTTATTTTCCCCACTGTCTATATTTATCACAGCAGTTTAGTAACCAGATTGTTGTATGTTTTAGAGGTGATAGAAACAGATTTGATGATTTTATCTTTTTTATTATCATTTGGTTTGGTCAGATTTTGAAATATTTAAGAGACTTTTAAAGGTGAAGTTTTATTGTGTGGAGAAGCAACAAGAAAAACCGATGACTCCACCAGTTAAGGTCTTGGACACGAGTCAGGATTTCTGCAGGGTCTTAAAAAGTCATACATTTTACTGTTTCAGTTTTATCTTTTAACAAACCAACCATGTGTTCAGATTTCCAAATTTACGTCTTTAAGACAGCTTTAGTTATGTTTTAAATTTTACATTTGTTCATTTTTCTGTCAAACGTCTTATTGGCTGTCAGAGTTCATTTGTTCTGTCTCGACGATTTCAGACATTAATACGCTGTAACAGAATTAAGTCCCATCAAGCAGCAGCCCTATCAAAATTCATTTATTTACAGACATAAATCAAAATGTCTTGCTTTAAAGGAAATTCAAAAGTAAAAAGTCTGAAATTTAAATTATAATGGTCTTTAAAAGTCTTAAATTTAACCAAAATTTGCAGATGGCCTAATTTAAGTTGTGTGCCACAACTCAAAGGGTTTATTTTCAAATGAAATCCATACAAATCTGTATCATATTTAGCACAGGAGGTGCATTTTAAACACATTTTTACCCCCAATTTAATTCCATTTAGGAGGCCAGAAGATTTTGAATGAGAAGGTGTCTGACATCACTAACAAGCGCCTGGGAGATGGTTGGGATGGAGTTCTGCCTCCCTTCTATAAGAAACACAACATCATCTTTCTCAGCGATGACTAYGTTGGACCTGCTGGGTCGCTGCCGCCGCACGACCACTTCAGCATCAACTGGTGTCTTGGAGACAAAGACATCGAAGTTCTGGACTGTCGCACGGGCAACGTCGTTGAGGGGTAAGCTGTTTAATTTGTTTTTATAAACAGTAGTTGGAGAAAAATGGACAGTAAATGCCCTCATTTAAAAATTTATGTCCGGTTCTGTTCTGTGTTTTTGCTGAGAGTACGTGACTGTACTGCAGTTTCTTCCTGGGATGAGTTTTGTGCAGCTGGCTTGCATGACATCCCCTGCACGGCCTGGGGCTCCTGCCATCTTTTTGGCTTTGGAGCCGCAAACAACAAATGTCCACTATCTAGAGTGCAGGACAGACATATTGCTTGCAGTGTTACTGTCTGTTCTTGTTTTTCTCTTACAGTTTAAACCATGACATTTGCACGACACCATGGATTTAGATGTTAACTTAAATTCCCAGCTTGTTTAACTGGTTTTCAGTGATGAAGCGGTTAATTGTATCTGTGTCTGGGTTTAACGAGTTACCTCTAACAACCATCTGCTTATGTCAGCCTTTCTTTCTGCTGTCGCTCAATATTTTCTCCAAACATTATCTGTATAGACAAAACTGCTCAGGTCCTGAGGTTTCACTGCAGGGTTTCTCACCACAAATGTGTAAGTGGCAGTTTTAAGTGCTGCCTGCTGGAAACCTTCCTTTCATCTATTCAGCCAGTTCACAATCACAGATTGCTTCAGCAGTGTGAATGTACTGAATGGCCAAATARATATTTTTACATTTGTCGCACACAAACTCTAAAGCAAGATCTTGAATGCTTTTAGGAAATATCAAGCAACCCAAAAATCCTCTTAAGAGGCTGCGTCTAAATTTAGTTTATTTTATTTAAAACCCTTTTTGACAAAATCTGTTTTTATTTTATTTTTTTACATGATTGCATTTTGCATAGGATTRTTCACAACTAATATTAATACTGTATGTTGGACCACACTTTGTGTTAATAAGTAACATTCAATCATTTGAAATATTGCAGGTTTTTTTAAATTATTGAGAAAACCTTTTTTTTTTAATTAAACTTTGTGTTCTGAGAAACATACATGTAAGATGAGTCGCCATATAAAAGGATGCAGTGGTGCAAATAGGGATTCAAACAATTAATCGACTTATGATTAAATGTCGAATAATGTTTTATTAGATTAACATTTCTTCCATTCGAGTTTTGCCTTCATCCAGTAGAGGGCGCCGCTGCTCTCAGCCTGGTCTTATGGTGCGTTCACACCGAACGCGATTTCAGCGTCAAAATCGCAGCCAACGCTGAAGTTTGAAGCTTGTGCACTTTGAGGTCAGACGCTTGCTATTTATGCTTGACGCGCGAATCGCCCGTCAAGAAGGGCGGAGCCTCTCTGCCGGTCTTTGTACGTACAATGGCGGATGAAATTGAGAGAGTAGGTTGGCTTTGTTTACTCAGAGCAAGAGCCCGTCGTCGGAGAGCTTCTCGGCACCATGTTTGGATTCACC